AGGTTCTGTTACCTCTCGTTCAGGGGTAAAAAAAAATGTGTTCAGTCTAGCGGGAACAGTGGAAAGCAGCATGTGCTTGCCTGTCAGCTGGTGCAGTAGCTTAAAAGTAAGTTGGTGGTGGTGTAAGTTGCAGTGCCAGGATATGAACTGTGCTGGCTGAGGAAATGGACTTGGTATCTGTGGTGCTGTGCCAGCTATGGGTGTAGCAGCTTCCTGCAAAGGGGTGGAGAGGACATCTGACTATGGCTGTGTGCTAGGCCAGTGCATCTGCATCTCCCATGAGTCAGAGCTCAGTCATACAATTCTCAACCTGGTCAAACAAGACACTCCTGGCTGGCACATGAAATCGTGGTGCCAGCTTCCCCTTCCCTCCCCACCCCCATCACCATTTTTAACAGGCTTTGTGGTACAAGAGACTTGATTGTGCCCACCTGCCAGCTAACTTGATTTCTTTTGATTGTGGTGCAAAAAGAAGAGTTCGCTTTGCTTATCACGTTTGTACTTTGGTTATAGTGTCAGGCTCGGGCAGATTAATTGGTTGTAGCCTTAGCAGAGCTGTCAGGGTATTTAACCCATCGGAGAAAAATTACCCAAGCTGATGATAAACAGGTTTTAAATGCAGAGCAATTACTTAGTGCTAACAAAGCACCATGACTACACACTTTGTCCAAATGCAAAAAGCAAAGTCTTATCAGTGATTCTGTTTGCAGGAGGACACTAAAAGATAACCTTTGTTTGTGCAAATACTTACCTGATAAGATCTTCTGAAAGGGAACGGATGAAATTTCTGGCTCTATCTTGCCTGAAAGTTGTGCTTTAGACTACAATGTATATCAAACAAGAAAAAATAATCACAAACTGAGAATGTTCAATTCTCTGTTTTAGTTGGACCCAGAGTCTCAGATGGTGGGTTTCTTTCCTGCTCGCATGGATTGCTGTCTTTCTAGCACACTCCAATAAAGCAATTTAGAGACCTTTAGCCAGTAGGACTTTGGATTTCATTGTTTATGGGAGTTGGCAAAGCTAAAGGGCTGGTTAGCATTGAACTTAGTTTGTTCACTGCAGACTTAAATCTGACTGGTAGCCAGGGTTTACAGCACAGCAGTTGTGTGACTCACAACTGTTCTGTTCTGCATCAATGATGAAACTGGGCTGGGAGTTTCCAGACCTCGTGAAAGCTTAGGAGGTGCTTTTAGTGGGACGTGTGCTCGATACCATTGCCTCTCAGGGGTCACAGGTCACATTCTGAAGCATCACAAGTTTGAGTTTTTATTGTGATGAGTCCTAACATCTTGCATTTGACCTCTGCCTAGCTCACTCCAGTTTTTTTTCTGTACTTTAAGATTTGACTGAAAGGACACTGTTTATTGAATGCTTCTAACTGACCAACTTAAAAAAAAATCCAGTTCCTTATAGAGCATCAATCAAAAGATTTACAAAACTGACATCTTTTATTTTGCTTTTAAATGACTTATCAGAGGTTTCCCATTTGGTGTTTGTAAAGGACCTTTATATCAAGGGGAAAACTTAGAGCACCAAATGCAAGCACGTGTTAGTCTTTTTGGATAAAGGCCTTAAATTAGCACTAGCATGTTCAAAGCTCCTTCTCATGCAAAAAGTAAAGATATATTTTCTAGTGAATTGTTTATAGTTATCCCAGCCTGCTCTGCAGTCTATGTTATATTTTTTAGGTAAAAAAGTGTTTTTAAGTTGATTTGATTGCCGTGTAGTACTTTGTCCAGATGCTAATGCAGTAGCACAGTGGTTGTGAGAACCCTGTCTTACCTGCTGTGCTCTGTCTTTGGTTTCCTATGGCCAGTTTCAATCGCTATTAGCAGAGGGTGGAGATGGCAAAGACTTCAAGTTCCTACCAGCTACATAAGAAAAGGTGTCTTGAATCAAGAAGCAAGAGACATTGAATTATTCCTGTGTGCCCCTACTGAAAAATATTTTATATACACCATCACTGCAGGAGTTTCAGAGAACCTGTATGAACAGGCAAGGCAGTAGAAACCAGGTGGTGTTCATTTTCTTGTTCACTGGACTGCTTAGTCTGCATGGATTTCCTGCCCCAACTGATTTACTTCTGGTTTATAGTGTGCTTTTTTTTTTTTTTTTTTCTTTTTTTAATATATATGCATTTGAGCCTGATATGCTGCTGCCTTTTGTGCTCTTGCTCCCCACCCACTAGAGGCTGATAACACTGGTGATAAGCAGATCCATTTTGGGAAGGTGGCTTCACGAGTTCTGCACAGGGACTAGTCCAGTTGCTTCATGACAAATTTTGCAAGCGCTGTTATTGATGCAAGTTCTAGCTGCTCAGCTGTTTTTCTGTGGCCCACCACAACCAAAAAATTGTAATTTTTGCGTCAATAAAAGGACGGCAAATCTGAAGCCCCTTACTTACTAAGGGTCTTTTCATGCCTCAGTTTCCATAGCAATGCAAATAGGTGCTCCTCTCACTGGAGTGCCATCCGTCTGTGTGTGTGTCTGTGCCTTACATAAGCCTGGGCAGGCGGTGCCGACTTCTTTTCCTGGAAATAGATTTAGAAGGGAGGAGGAATATTGGATGCTGGGTCTGCAGAACTGCTACTGCAAGCTAACATCTTTCAGGGCCAGAGAGGTGGATACAGGGAGAGCAAGACTGTCAGCAGGGCCTGTTCTGGCTGAGACCTCCATGACAAAGGTGGTTGCCTGGTCCTGGGTTTGCTCTTCATTGGTGCACTTTTTAGGAGTTAGAACTGGCGGCAAATAAAATGCAGTCCTTGAAGGCAGGGGAACGTGATATTAGTCATTGATATTAGTCATTTACAGTTTCTGCCTTATAGGCTATTCAGGCTACAGACTTTCTGTAGCCTGAAAAAGGAAATCTTTCATTAGCTAATTATTTTCCTTAATAGTGCTGCAAGGGCGTCAGCAAATAATAGAGTTCCTGGCAAAGCTACCATGCTGTTTAGTGCCTGCCTGTGTGATCAGGAGGGAATGATGGGGAAATTTTAATGAGATAAATTCTATCACAGCTGAAAAATGCTAATAGCTTCAAAATGCTGTTCAGAGTTGACTCCTTAGCAATCAATTTTAATAATTTTCTATGTGCAAATGAGGAAGCTCAATGTCACATGTTGTCTGATACCTGGGTTTTGACTGTTTTCTAGCTGTCTTTGACATTGTGCCAAATGTATTGTGAAGGCGTGATGCAGCAGAGCTAATGCAACACAATCACCTCTAATGGAGCAATGGCATAGCGTACAGAACTGAAGGGGGAAAATGCAGTATCCCAGTGAGACTGCAGCTGAGAATTGGGTGGGTAGGGCAGATGTGCTTGGTGAGTCAGAAGGAGCAAGGGCATAGTGTTGCTCCAGAAGAGTGCCATGAAATTGGCAGCGCCCAGTTGTCAGTGCCTTGCTTGCAGGACTCTTCCTCTCCCAGCCTGATAAAGCTGAGTTTTTTTCAAAAGTACAAAAAGGAAGATGGGGCTTTGCACCACTCACTTTAACAGCAGTGAAAAGTCCCTCCAAGACAACTTTGAAAGCATCAGCTTAAAATAGTTAAGAAAACTGCTAAGAGCAGAATGAACCAGGTTGCTTCAATTATTTCTTAGATTCGGTGTTTTGTCAAAGATTGCAGTTGATATTATTGGCCCTGCTGATCTGTGGTTTAGCTAATTAATGTTGTCACAGCTTCTAAAATTTTTTGATTTCCTCTGTAGTTTCTCATTAATCTCATATTATCATCATATAAGTTCAAATCAACCCTTCAGTATCGTAAGGTGTTCTTGTACCTGTCCAGTCTGTCTTTTCATTCAGTTCTACCTTTACAAACTGATGTTCGTCAAAGCTTTGTTCATATGTTTAGTAAGATCATGAATTTTGTTTGTTTTACCTTGAAACTGCATGATGGTAATATAGGAACTGAATTCACAGTTTCTCCTCTAAGCAACATGGATTGTAAAATAGTTGCTCATCTTTACATACTTTTTTTTTTGTTGTTTTTTTTTCCCTAGGACTGATGTAATTCTCTTCACTGTAGGATACCAGAGCATGGTGCTAAGTTTGTTCTATGCAGGTGGAGAAAAAAACAAACAAACAAACAAAAAACTGTTTCGCTGGTTGTGTCTCTGTGTGTTTACACAAAGATAGACATTTTAGTTAGATGCACTTTCTCTCTTCCCAGTATCTTTATGGCAGATGCATAGGTTTTCATAAACTTTTCTTGCTAATATCCATTTAACTTTACAAAGTCCATTTTTCTCTATAATTTTACTTTAACCCTGTTGTTCATTGTACTGCAAATCATCCTAAGGACATCTCTTCTTTATTCCAGTTTCCGTAATTTAGCTTTACAGCACAGGTCTGTCAGAAGATAATCAATGGTGTTGCCTGAAACTGTGTTTTATGTAAGGAAAATACATATTCATCACACAGAGCATTATGAAATCTATACCAATACAGATTTTCTGTATACAAAATGGAATTGATATCAGTAAACTAGATGTTGAACTAAAATCTGCATGTACATGTTTCCCAATGTATTTATTTCAGTTTAAAAAAAAAAAAAAAGAAAAGAAAACCACAAAACAGAAATTGCACTTGATGCTGAGTTACAGCTTTTTAAGAGGCCAGGAATCTTTGGCTAAAACCCATCAGAAATACTTATAATGTGTACTTTGAATTACTTGTTATTACTGGGTTAATTCTTTAAAAGAAACACCTTCTGTGCTCTGGACAACCTTTTGACAACTGGAAATGTTGTGGTACGTGCTTACCTACAGTTGCCCCTGCATGACATTCATTTTCGTTGTGGAAATTGTGGAGTTGTTGTGTCCTTGAGGAATGTTGAATAGTTGCTGATGGTTCGAGGAATGTAATTCCAGTTTCTGACAAGCTCCTTCTCTAATATTGTTCTGCAGTTTTTTGGGGAAGAGAGGAAATCTTTGAGTTTCCCAGTCAAAAAGCCATCCTTTGGAAGCATGTCAGTGCATCCACTCTTCTCTTTTTCAGGATCTTTCCCAGAGAGTATCTTCTCCAGCAAATCCATCTTTATTCTCTGGCAGACCTCCAGCAGGTAAGTTTCTTCAACTAATCCTATTTTTCTCTTACTAAATATCTTCAATGCTAACCGTACATTCTTCCTTCTAGCTAACCAAAACATAAGTAGCCTTACTTCCAAGCCATCTCAGGTTTGTGGTTTGGTATAAAAATGGGTTAATGGGGCCATCACTTAGTGTTGAAAGAGTAAAAACCTAGAGCTGCAATGTTGAAATGGGGCTGGAAAGAGCTTGTGAAAGAAAACTGTGGGCTGCAAACAGAACATTGCTGGGAGAAATGTTTATCTGAGCAGTGAAGGCTTGTCTAAGGCTCGACCTTAGACAAGTAGTGACAAGCAGTATTTACTTTTTTGCTTGAAAGAACTGTTCTTCAGGAATTCGGGTTTGTACAGTCCCTGGTGCAACATGCTTATTAACTAAGTCTGTTAGCCATACAAAAATTAAAAAAAAAAAAAGAAAAAAGAAGAAGCAAAAGCTCAACAAGCATGCTACACAAAGTTACGCCACACAATGCTGGTGTGACAGACATGGCCATGGAAGAGAGAATGTGCCAGCAAAAATGTCTCTTTGTGTTGGTGTTGATTGAGCTAAGTGAACACCTTGCAATGTATCTGCCTGAACAGCAGTTTTATCGCATACAAGATTAAACAAGAAGAATTTGGCAAAAAGAGCTGAAAAGAAAGGAAAGAGAATTCAGGGTGAACATGCTGCAGTACTTAGATGAACAGTGAAGGAAGCAAGGAGGTAAGATGTGCTAGCTGACCTAGGCACCATCTGTGTTCACGCTCTCATGCTATTGTCAATAAGTAAAACACTTTATTTTAAGCTTCTTCCACTGATGTTTTCCTTGTCCAACCATGTCTTTTCTGTAGGGTAGCAGGCAGCATAGTCAGTTCAGGATGTTCTCTTGACACCTTAAGCTGAGGTAGTTCAGATTTCTCTCAGAGCTGGAAGCTACAGAACCACAGGAAAAAATGGCTTTTGTTGGCTAGTGAAGTGACAGAATGGAAATGATTCCATATATAAAATAAAAATCTGAGGTCTAAAACAGTTTCCACATCTTTTCAGCATGTTCTGCTATCTCATCTCTAATAATCAAGCCATGAAATAGCAAGCTACTTAACTCCAGAGCTGCAGTCTCCCTGGTGGGCCTGTCTATTAGCCTCCAGTGCTTTGTAAGCTGCATAATCAGTTCCTAACATTGGTAGTAGATGTTTTAGAAGCAATCAGCAGCTTATCAAGCACCCTGTGGGAGGGAAGAAGGGAGGGTAGAAGTCACAATTCATCCATTGATTTAGCAGTTCCATTTAGCATGTTTCTTTGTGTTTGTGTGTTTGCAAGACACCTTCTCTTCCCCTGAGGGCCGCAGCCCCAAATTTATCATATTTAGAGGCAGTATAATTTGATTACCATTTCTGCTGGGGTCGGTTAAATTGGATTTACCTTTTAATCTAGCCATATCCTTGTTGTCAGCCTAGGGAGGGTTTTCCACATTTTGGAGGCTCCAAGTTTGAATTGGATTGCCTGTTTTTGTCAAAGTGTAACCAGATTGGAAGGGGTTGGAGGGCCCTGGTAGGATAATGTATCCCACAGCCAGAGAAACACTAGCACCCTTAAAAGGCACGGTGATCTCCCCAGTTTTCCAGTACCACTGCTTTTTCCTGATTGCTCATCATTTTCCACTGGCCTGCAGTTTGGGTGTTTTTTAATCCTAAAAGTTTCCCCTCTTTTTGATTCTTCTACTGCCTATTTCTTCATATCCATGGGCTGCTTTTGCACTGTATCCTGCTGTCATGTATATTGTGTGTGTTTGGGGAATTAACTAAAAGGTTTATTAAAGATTAATGGAAAGATAAGACATGGTGAGTGAATTAGAAAAGCAGAGAGGGGTAATCTGCAGATATAAGCAACCTTTACCCTGGTTAGTCACAGCTCAATTCTGATTTGTTTCCAAGCCAAGTACTCTTTAAAGATCCTAGAAAACAAGGAATCATTTTCTACCAAGCAACTGGATTTTAGAAATGTTCTGTCTCTTCTCAGGTGGGAAAAAAAAAAATAAAAAAAAATGCCTGTTAGCCACAAGATGAAGCAGCATACAATACTATTTTAAAAAGAAATGCAATTTAAACCTCTTTCCAAGTTCAACAAATCTCCATGCCTAGACCTAATGGGTGTGGCTGAACAGATATTTGAGGTATCTAATGATCTTAGGGATGGTTGTCACTTGGATCAATTTGGAGAGGGCTCTGTTGGAGAAGACCTTCATTGAGGTTCAAAGCAAAGGGGGGAAAAAAATAGACAAAAAAATGACAAAAATGTCATTAGTTATGGAAACTTGCTAAACTTTCAGTGAGAAGGTACTTTTCCTAATAGTGCTCACGTGAGTAATGTGTCCTGCATCACCATTGAGCCTTCCATTAAAATGCTGTTGCTCCTCTGTTAGCTAGTTTATCCAGAGCTATTCCAGGCAACTAAAGCTTTAAGAAGGACAACCTCTACTTGTTAGGAAGCAAGTATTCACTTTTGCAAGTACTGTTTTAAGCATACGTTGTGCACTGGAAAAAGCAATTCCTCTTATTCATGTGCTGTATAGTTCCTGATGATACAGTCAAAGTCAAGGGTAGCATCACCATGAACTTAGTGGAGGTGTGAACTTGTTCTCTGCTGCTATTACTCATGTCCGCTGTTTTTGTGGACATGTGGACACAGGTCATGCAAGCTGGAGTTCAAAATAGCTATTAATTTTCTGTGACTGTGGAGCTGCTTTTGGTGAGACTAATAGCTTTTACGCCGGTAAACATTGGTTTGTATAGAAGCTGACTTAGACAAGAATCTTGCATTTCGTAGGAAAAATGATTCTTGCTACTTAACTAGATTCTAGATTAACAGGAGCTTTACGAGTAACAGACTTGAAGTGGCTATTGCGACAAGCTTGACATTCAGGTGCTTAATCCACACAGAACAATTAATATCTTGCCTGGATTTTATGTTAAATAGCAGTATATGCAAGTGTGCAAAGATTAATTCAGTGATGTTCTTTCCTGTAGAAACACTCTTAATTACGGAAATTATTTCATCCTGGTTGCACTACCTTGAAAACATACGGTAAAATAAAAAGGAGCAATGTAACAGCAAAAATAACTGGATGTCAAGGATGGAAATGTTGAGTGAGATAGGAGATTTAAAAAGATGACAGTCTGAAGATTTGTTTACATGTGAATACTCAGGAAAAAATGTTTGTAGAGACAAACTATGGGAATTTTAAATTATCGGTTGAACTATATTTAACCGCTGTAAACACTGTTATTCAAAACAGTGTCCAAAATATAAGTGGTTTTTCTCTGGTTTACGTCCATTTACTTTGGAAGCAACATGAGCTAAATTGTATTAAAGCCATTTTCATTGTGAATTTTTATATCCATACAGGGGTGTAATGAAATGGATTTAATTTATCCATTTTTACATTGTAGATAATAATCCATTAACATTTAATTAAAACATCCATTTAATTCAGATCAACTTTCCTGACTATCTACCTGTAGATGAACCTACAGACAGTGTGCAGAACCATGGAGAGAAAGGGTAAACAGGACAGCCCCATTCTCACGGTGCTATAGCACAGGTCATATAGTGAATATGAAATATGCATAAAAATCCTTAATGGAAGTTCTTTTTTGAGGAACACACAGTGAGCATGAGGAACTTAATGCCATAGTAATATTACTGAGGCCAGAAGTTTAACATATTTGAGAGGATTAAGTATCCATAATGAGAATGTCCACAGTTACACTACACAAAATAAAGAGATTATAAGGTTTCAGAATAGACACATTACTTACTGAGGGGATTAGGGAGATGTGTTCCCTATTGACAGATAGATCAATGATTTCATCTTCCTCTGACACATTTAGTACTGATTACAGCATCTGATAGGATTTTTGACTACATGAAAAATTGGTTTAGCAGAAGCATTCCCAATTTGAAAATCTTAATTTATACATGTAATGTTCCCTAAAAGAAATGGGGGAAAGAAGAATGAACTTCAAGTGAAGCCTAAGTTGCACCTAATTTGAGCCTGTTACATCGTTAGACCAGGATTAAGAAGCCTTAGAAAAACAAAGTGGTTAGGGCTGGTTCACTTTTCCAAGCTTTTAATCTTTCCTGTACTTTTTTCATACCTCCTTTTCCAGTGGCAAATATGTCCTCTCTGTATTTTCCTAGGCTGAGATGGAGGCAATTGGAGATGGTCTATCTAGCATTTTTGCTGGTGCAAAAAACTTTTGCAGGTGCAAAAAGTTCAGGTTGATTTAGACAACCTGCTTCATGAGTCCTGACAATATCAACGACTGCGAAGAGATACGGGAATTTTGCTCTTGACTTGCTTGGTGGTTTTTTTTTTTTTTTTTTTCGTATTTAAAACTTGTTTTCTGATCATTTGGTCCTCGTACAGTCACTGGGAAGTGCTTGGCTTTGATTTAAAACATACTGCATGATGACTTCCAGATCTATCAGTGGTGTTGTCCTTGCTCAGCAGTATTCTTTTCTTGACTCATAAAAACACTCCCCCAAGTAGATATATGCAAACTGCACGATCCTCATTTGATGGGAGGTGCTGCTGGCATTATAATTGGCTTTCTAATTTCCTCCTGTCTTTACTTTTGCATTTGAGTACTGAGGTATAAAAGAATCAGAGACCTTTCTCAGTGGACTCTGAATGATACTAACTCTCACTGAGGATGTGAGTTCACCACAGAATACTGTGCTAGGACATACTTTCCAAAAAAAATCTCACTCTTTGTTTTCTTGTTAGGAGCCAGGTCTGTGCCACAAACTTCTGGTAACGCAGCAGTGTCTGTCAGGGAAGTGATGGGATGTGGCATCTATCCCACGTTCCTGTGCTGGTGAAAGCCAGTGGTGTGCATGTGGCTATATGGACTGACAAAGCTTGGTTTTGGCTAAAACACTTTGGACTTTGTCTAAGGTTAGAAGTGTTACTGGCATAGGTGCGTGATAAAAA